TTCCCCCAAAATATGTACCAAGTACCTATAATGGGCCTGCTGTGCATACTGGGGATACAGCAGTGAACAGACAAAGAATAGACAACACCTTGGCCACCGTCAAGGGCTGACACTCTAGTGTGTTGTGGGGGGACCGTGAGGGTCATTAAAAGAAACAGTATACAGTCTATTATAAAATGGGGGAGAACCAAGCAAGGAAAGGGCATGGGAGGGTGGTGTATGCATCGGGCAGTGTTAGAGAAGGGGCAGGGAAGGCCTAACTAAGAAGGTAACAAAAGAAAGGGTCTCAAGCTGACGAGGAAATGATCGTACATGGATCCATCCTGTCTGGGCAGTGCTCCAGGTGGCTGGAGGCCTCAGGCAGATGAACAGGGCCTCTTGAGGAGCAGCAGCGAGACCTACGGGATTACAGAGGAGCGAGGCAGCAGGCACGGGCAACCAGGCGGAGTCTGGGGACTTTGCTCTGAGTGAGTTGGATGCCATGGTGCAGCTTTGAGCAGAGGAGGGACCTGGTGCATATGAGGTTCCAGCCAGACTGTCCAGGCTACTGGATGAAGGGTACATGGCAGGAGCAAGGGTGGAAGTGGGGAGCCCACGCAACATCATCCTCACAACAGCCCCGGACGGTGCTATCAGTTAGGGGTGCTTTTGGCTGCGGATCACAGAAAGCCTGTATTACAGGAGCACACACATTCCGGTGTTCACTGTACTCTTCTGAAGTGTAGGGTTGGGCAGCCCCAGCTCTGGTTTGCCAGGGAGTGAGTCCCTCCTTCCTCCTGTTGTTGACTCTTGCCTTGGGCTCATTGCTTCACAGCTGCAAGATGGCAGCCACTGCTCCTGCCATCACAGTCTCTCACAACTGTGCCCAAAGCAGAGTGGGTGGAGGGAGCAGGAGGGCCTTCTCTTCCTGTGTTCCTGTCTTTTCAGAGTGGAGAATCTTACCCAGAAACCCATAGCAGACATCCTCTTGGCCAAAACTGGCCCAGAACTACCTACATCCATTCCAGTCCCTGGTAGAGGAGAATGGGTAGCCTAGACTGGTGTCATCTCCTGGAGCTGCTCCAGTTGCCTCCTGGACATAGTTGAGGCTCCATGCAAGGCAGGAAGAGGGAGGGCTGCTGGCTTGGCCACGGGCAGTGCTGGCTCCGGGCAGGTTGCACAATTCTCATTTTATAGACTGGGCAACTGAAGATCCGAGAAGCAACAGGGCTTATCCCAAGGGTGCCCAAGAGTGAGGGGCCGAACCAGGACTTGAACTCAGGCCCATGAGAGGCAGTGTGGTGCATTGGTTAAATGCCCAGGCACTGCAGGCAGGCCAAGCGGCTGGGTATGTGAATCTTAGCCCCATCATTTCACCCCTCAGAGTTGAGCCTCAGTTTCCTCATCTGGGAAGTGGGGATAACAACAAACCCATAGAGGAGGAATGAGCATTCAATGAGGTAATGCATGTAAAGTGCTGAGCTCTGTGTCTGGGACATAGGAAACACGCAGTACATTTAGTGACCAATTTCGTGAGTTATTGTTCTATTAATATTATTAGCAGTAGTGTTATTTTCACTGGGCCAGGCCACCTCTCACAGCGTTGTTTGCTTTCCCATAGATGAACTCCGACTCATGCCAAATGCTGGTTGAATTTTCAGCAGGTGATTGAGGCAGATTACCCTGTGCTTGATAGAACTGTTCTTACAGTTCCGTGATAAAGACTCATTTTATTCCGATGTAAAGAATTTATGGGGAGGTGGCAGAGAGGTGGGGAGGTTTGTTTTCATCCTTTGTGTTCAGAGTGGGCTGCTGCAGACACAGGCTGCCATCTGCGTGTTCCTGGGCTCCGCTGCAAAGACGCCCAAGCTCCTCTCAGCTCTCTCCCTACCGGGATCTTCTTGTCCTGGAGCTGGAAGGGCCCAGGGGTAGGGATGGCGGTGGGCTGGGATGGGGCGGGAGACTGACTGCAGGTCACCCAAGGAGCTGGGCTAGATCCTGGGTGTGTAGACCCCAAGCCGGCCTGGCTTGTTCCAAGTCCTTAAGGTGCAGCATGGAGGAAGGGGCTCTGCCAGGTGTGGCAGGAGTGGGGATCAAGGCAGGAGCTGCCTACTGTGTCCTCAGCCAGCCTCTCTGTTCGGTCCCTGATCTTCCTCCTACATCACCACCATCATAAGACACACCACTTCTCATGGGAGATCTCTAGAAAGTCGCCCCTCTCCTGTTCCCCTGTTTCCGGGAGTCTTCCTGCAGTCCACATTGGAGCCTGTCACTGTCCTGCTCATAGCCCAGCGTCTTAGCCTGGCTTGTGGCACCCTCACCAGTGAGGCGAATCTCAACCATTTTCCCCATTCTCCTGCCACACTCTGGCCATACAGGACCTGTGTGGTGACTCCAGGGGGTGCGCATTCTCCTGTGTGTGGGCTTAGCACATGCCATTGCTTCTGGAATGGCATCTTCCCTCTTTTGTCCCTGGCTGCCCCCCTGCCCTGCCCCAGCCTTTAAGGCTCAGTGGTCACATTTCTGGGGAGCTCTGCCTTTGGCTGGGCTGCTGGGAATAGACTCTGAGACCAAGATTTGCCTGAAAAAGGTTTATAGAAGTATCCCCAAGTCTGAAGATGTCTACCTCCTCCTCTCTGGAACTTGTGAGTAGAACCTTATATAGCAAAAGGTATGCTGCAGATGTGAGTAAGTGATGGTCTTGACATGGGGTATTGTCTGGGTGGGCCCCGTATCATCACAAGGGTCCTTGTAAGATGGAATCAGGAGGTCAGAGAAAGGGAGATGTGATGGTAAAAGCGGAGAGCAACTGATTGGAAGATGCCGTGCTGCCAACCTTGAAGATAGAGGATGGGGCTGTGAACCAAGGAATGCAGGTGGCCCCTAGAAGCTGGAAGAGGCAAGGAAGTGGGTTCTCCTCTGGAGCTTCTAGGAGGAGTGTGGTCCTTTTGGCACACTTTACACTTCCAACCTCCCGAACTGTCAGATAACAAATCTGTGTTGCTCTTAGGCTGTGACTGTGGTGATTTGTTACAGTGGCAGCAGTAACTGCAGTGGCTGTGACTGTTTCCTAACAGGACTTCTCATGTGTGCAACAGAACCAACAGTAGCTAATACTTATTCAGCATCTACTAGGGGTCAGAGAGTAGCCACATGCTCTCACTTGTCTCTTAATTTGATCCTCTTCATGGTAACCTTATAAGACAGGCGGATAAATTATTGTCATCTTCATTTTCAGGTGAGGAGGCTGAGGCACAGAGAGGTTAAGTAACTTGCTCAAGGTCACACAGCTGTGCCCTCCCCTGGGAAGTTGGGACTTGAGTATCTTCTTCACCACCTCTTCTCAAGGTGGTTGAAAAATTCAATGAGATAACACATTTAAAGGGCACAGAACACTTGATAACTCTTAGATGAATAACTTCCAAAATAGAAATCTGGTTTGGATGGCTTTCCCTAATGAAATGTGCTCTTTCCTAGTGCCCGAAGGTTCCCCCACCACTCCCTGTCCCGTGGGCAGTCACATTGTGCTCTCTTTGGATCGCTTACCTGTCACTGTGTGTCTTGTCTCTGGGCTAGGTTTCAGCTATTCTGGTCTCCTGCCTTCTTTTCCATGAATTCTCCTTTCATACCCAAGACACACTTAACCTGCACATTCCTGCAGCTTCCCTCATGGATTAGGAACCGTTCTAGAATCTGCCTGCAGCCACCCCGCCTGTGCTCCCCAGCCCCACCCTGTCCTCCAGCACCTGCTCTGGCCACTGCGACTCACTTCCTCCCGGATGGAGCTTGCTCTCCTGAGCACTGACATGAGCCGTCCCATGTCCCTGGAATGTTCCATTTCCCCTTCCCCCACTGGCTGACTCTCTTTCACCCTCCCATCTTATAAGAGATGCCACTTTCTCCAGGAAGCACCCCCCATGCCAGTCAGGACCATTGCCCCTTCTCTGCACCCACGTGACCCTTGAGCAGCTTTGCCACGCGCTGCTCACATTGTACCGTGAAGGCCTGTCGACTGTACCACTAGACTGCGGGCCCCTCACGAGCAGGACTGTATCTGTCTCATCTCCAAGCCCCAGCACTGGGACTCCATTTAGTGGGTGCACCCGATGTATGTAGAGCCAGGGACCATCATGGTCCCTCAGGATGGATGGCCGAACAGAAGACCCCCGGGGGGACAGCAGACGTCAGGAGAAATAGACACCCTAGGTGATAGGAGACGCTTGGGGAGGCAGGAGACCCCAGGAGAAATAGGAGACTCCTGAGGTGACAGGAGACCCCTGGGGTGACAGGAGACCCTTGAGGTGACAGGAGACCCCTGGGGAGGTGGGAGACCCCTGGGGTGACAGGAGACCCTTGAGGTGACAGGAGACCCCTGGGGAGGCAGGAGACCCCTGAGGTGATGGGAGACCCCTGGGGTGACAGGAGACTCCTGAGGTGATGGGAGACCCCTGGGGAGGTGGGAGACCCCTGGGGTGACAGGAGACCCCTGGGGTGACAGGAGACCCTTGAGGTGACAGGAGACCCCTGGGGTGACAGAAGACCCCTGGGGTGACAGGAGACCTCTGGGGAAACAGGGTGGTGGCTGCCCTGAGCCTGGCCTGAACCTTGATCCTAAGGAGGGAAGATGGAGCCTAACTGAGACCCTGGGGCGTGAACAGTCACCCCCTGACTAAAGCCTCAGGTGAACATGGCCACTGTGGCGTGAAGAACATGAGAGAAATGTCTAAGTAGTCTCAGGTGTTGGCCCTGAGGGGACCCCGGAGGCCACCTCTCTCAGCATCTTCCCCCCATTGCACTTGGAACTGTAACCAAGAGGGGGTGAGGGGCTTCCTCAAGGTCACCCATCAAGTCAGAGGCAGAGCTGGGGCAGGAACTGGAATGTTCTAGGGTATCTTCCAGGCCTTGGCCTGGGCCTCCTTGCCAGCCGGATAAGATGTGCTCTTCAGAGTACGAGAGGGGGCTCTGCAGCCTGAAGGTATGAGTCCCCCAGTCCCTCTAATGTTCTCCTCTCCCTCTGACAGGTGAACCTGGTGCTGGGGGATGGCCGGTCCCTGGGCCTCACGATCCGTGGGGGAGCTGAGTACGGCCTTGGCATTTACATCACTGGCGTGGACCCAGGCTCTGAAGCAGAAGGCAGCGGGCTCAAGGTGAGGGGAGGGCCCGAGGGAGGGAAAGCTCTGTGCTTGGAGCTGTTTGCTGCTGATTTTAAATAGATCTCCAGCAGAGCAATCAGCACCCCACCTTGAGGACTGGTCCCAGCTGGGGAGCCCTCCCTGGCTGCTGTGCCTCTAAATTCACAGCTCACAGCAGCAGCAGGGTGGCCGCCTACGCGGTGTGGGCAGCAGGCCAGCCCGAACTTGTTGTGCTGCTGTTTTGCAAACACTGCTGATGGCCTGTGATGGCCCTGACTTCAGGGTTTGTTAGGACATGTGGAGAGGGAAGAGGAGAGAAAGTGATGGACTAGGTTGGGGATGCCCTGGGCAGCTTCAGGCCTGGCATTCAATCCGGACAACCAGCAGTTATCAAAATGATATTGCTAGCTCCCATTTTAAAGAGGGCTAACTGTGTGCCCAGTGCCTGCGATCCACTTTACACATGCCATCTAGTAGACTCCTCACCCTACCCTGAGGGGGTAGGGTATTACTACCCACACTTTCCAGTTGGGGAAACTGAGATATACAGAGGTTAAACTGACCTGTCCAAGGCCACACAACTGGTGGGTTGCAGAGCAGACTTTGAACTTAGGCCCTCTGAATTTCAAAGCCCTCACTTAGCACCCTGCAAGGCAGCCTGGGAACTCTGCTCAGAACGCCGGACCCAGGACACTAATCACCAAATTAAAGAGTACCATGTGTTTGGGCTAAATCCTGATGCCAGGGATGCCACAGCAGCAGCGATGTGGAGTGGTGACCATGGCACAGGTGGCCTTTAAGCCAGGCCATGGAGAATGTGAAAGAGAGGGATGGGTAAAGGGGAAGGATGGGAGTGACTGGCCGAAGGACCACGCGTGTCTGACTGTTGGTGACTGACTAGATGGATGCCTAGTCTGTGTGCAAAGCCAGGGGAATGAAGCACATGATGAGGTTGTGTCTTTGTAACAAAGGGCCTTTCTTGCATGCCCTGGTATCAGGAGATTTCATTTTCCACACAGACAAGAAGAAAAGGTCGTATGTGGCCACCAAGTCACGTCATGGCAGACAGGCTAGAGTACAGAAACGGTATGTCCGTCAGGTTCTCTTAGGAAACAGGCATTGTGGGAAGAGCTCTGGGTTTGCAGTAGGGAAGACTGGGTTCAAGTCCCAGTTTTGTTGCTTTTGCTTACATAGCTGTGTGACCGTGGAGAGTCCCTCCACGTGTCTGGGTTTCCCTTTCCTGTATAATAATACTAAGTAAGCCCTCACCAGACACTGAACCTGCGGGCATCTTGATCTGTGACTTCCCAGCCTCCAAAACCGCGAGACATAAATTTCTGTTGTTTATAAACTACCCAGTCTATGATACTTTGTTATAGCAGCCCAAAGGGACAGATAGACATCATCATCATCATCATTGTGGACATAATCATTAACATCTACCTTGTCTCCCCTTTCCCAGTTACTCTTCCAAGTGCTTTACATCATTAACTTGTTTAACCTTGCTTCCCGTTACTATATAATAATAATAGGTAACATTCCTTTCTCAGGGTTATTGCAAGCTCAAATGAGGAATTCTTATTAATTATTATAGTAAACATTGCCATAGATTGTGTTCCTCCAAAATTCATGCATTGAAATCCTTACCCACAAGCTGATAGTATTAGGAGGTGGGGCCTTTGGGAGGTGATTAGATCATGAGGGCGGAGCCCCACGAATAGGATTAGTGCCCTTATAAAAGAGGCTCCAAGAGCTGCTTCGCCCCTTCCGCCATGTAAGGATACAGCAAGAAGGCACAGTCTGTGAACCAGGAAGTGGGCCCTCACCAGACACCAAACCTGCTGGCGTCTTGATCTTGGACTCCAACCTCCAAAACTGTGAGATGTAAATTCCTGTTGCTTGTAAGCCACCCGGTCTATGGTACTTTGTTATAGCAGCCCAGATTGACTCAGGCAAACATCATTATCATCACTGTTACAGACATGGTAATTTACATGGAGCATGTGTCTTCTTTCCCAGGTGCTCTTCCAAGTGCCTTACGTCGTTAACTTGTTTAACCTCATGATACTCCCGTGAAAGTAGGTTCTGTTGTGAGCACCATTTTATTTTTCATTTTTGCGGGTACATAGTAGGTGTGTACATTTGTGGGATACATGAGATGTTTAGACACAGGCATGAGTGTGTAATAATCACATCGTGGAGAATGGGGTATCCATCCCCTCAAACATTTACCCTTTGGTGAGCACCATTTTACAGGCTCAGTAGGTGAGACTCGGAGAGTTGCACAGCCTTTGAGAGGGAAAGCCAGGATTCCCATCCAGGAATGAGGAGTCTGATTCTAGACTTGTGCCAGCCAGATAGGTAGGAGATGTTCCACAGTGTCGGCCGGGTCTAGTTGATTGTGAAACGTGTTGGATCTAGGTGCTTGCTTTGCTTTTAGCAGGTAGGAGTGATGCTTTGTTGGGACTCCAGGGGGAAATAATCTGATAATATTCTGTATGGAATTTTTGTTTAATAAATTTATGTTGGAATAATTTTAGACGTAGTGAAAAGTTGCCGAGAGTTCCTGTTTATCCTTCACCCAGCTTCCTCTAATGTTTACATCATGTATAGCCGTGGTATATTTGTCAAGACCGAGAAACTAACATCCGTATAATACTGTTAAACTACAGGCGTTATTCACAGTTTCTCCACTCCTGTCTTTTTTCTGTTCCAGGATCCAGTCTAATCCAGCATACCACGTTGCTTTTAGTCTTTATGAAGTTTAACTGCCATTTATTTTCCCCAAACACTTAAAGATTAGAGGCAGTTTCTAAACACAGAGTAAAGCTTTTGAAGAAGTGGAGGAGACTGGGGAGAAGGAAAATGGGGCCAGAGGAAAAGAGATGAAGCGGGTTGAGGGATTCCCCAGAACGCCTGCTGCATGGGGCTTCAGGCCCAGCTACAGGCAGGATGCAGACTTGGCTCTGAGCTTCCTGGCAGCCAACACAGAGAGTGAAGCAGGTCAGTGGTGTCTGTAAGAGGAAAACAGACCAGCTGTGTTTGAAAACCCTAGTTATTCTTCCTTCTGAGGCCTCAGAACAGTTTTCCTCTGGTCCGTCCTTGAGAGGATGTTGTGTGGTGCCATAGTGTCCTTGGTGACATAAATGTATGAACAGTTTACATACCTTGTGAGCGGTGAGTACCCTCTGATTAAAACCATGTTAAGAGAAAGGGAGAGAGGGAGCCTTCCAGAGAGACGACATGGTAGGTCTTGGCCTGAGAGCACTGAGCATCTCGCCCTCTCTCTCTGATTACTGGTGGGTGGCGTCTTTTATTATCATGTTACCCTTTCATTGAGGAGTTGCTATGTCACATACTGCGCTGAATACTTCTTATTCATTATCACATAATTTTTGCAATGATATATTTTAAAAAAGAATGTTCTTCTTGCCAATTTATAGATAATAGATTTAGGAGCAATGTTAAGCAACTTGTCCAAGGCCACCCAGCTAAGTGCTAGAGCTGAGATTTTAACTCACGCCAGCAAACTCCAAGTCCATGTTCTTAACTACTATGGTATAGTGCCTCTCAGTCCTCGGTTTACAGCTGAAGAAACCAAGACTTATAGACTTAAACTGAGTTGCCCAAGATCAAATTATTTCTGTTATCAGAGCTGTTATTTAAACCAAGACCTGACAGAGCCTGGGGTTGCCTTGTGCAGGGAAGGACAGGAGCCCCGGGGCCTCCACTGACCAGCTGTGTGAAGGTGGGCATGTCCTTCCCCTCCCTGGGCCTCAGTCTCCCTACTTGGACACTTGGGCGAGGTGATCTCTGAGGACTTCCCTAGATCTGTACATTTTCCTGGCCTGAAAAGTTGCAGAGAGTTCCCTTTACATAGAGCAAACATTTTGAATGAGTAGAGGATATTGGGGAGAAGGAAAATGGGGGATAGGGAAAGAGATGAAGCCTCGATGAGTGATATTCCAGAACACCCTGCTCTGTGGGGCTGCAGACCCAGCTACAGTCAGGACACAGACTTGGCTCTGAGCTTCCTGGCAGCCAGCACAAAGAGCGTGCCCAGACGCTAGGAATGTACTCCTCTCTGTTTCACCTATACTTTTCATGTTCACAAAGAGATGCCAAAACCAGTAACCAGCTGATAGATCCCTCTTTTGTGTGGAAGGATGTGGACATTCCACATAGGCTAGTGTCTGTGGTTGTCTCTTGCTTTTCCTCTTCCCATTTTATCTGTGAGTATATATACTTGTGACTCCTATAAACTAACATTGTACTTTGCAGCTTCTGAGCTGAGCAAGACAGACACAGTCTCTGACCTCCTCAGCTTATATTCTAGTAAGAAAAATAAAAACAAATTACACAACTGTATAGTTAGTTACAATTGTGATAATACCAAGATGGCAAAGCACGTGGAACCAATTGAGTGTATGCCTAGGAAGACCAACCCTGGTCTTTGGATATCTGGGAAGGCTTCCTGGAGGAGGAAGCATTTCGGTTGAAATTTAAAAGAGAACAAAACTAATTATGTGAAAGAGGAAGTGAGAATTCCAGGCAGAAAGAACAGCAAATGCCAAGTCCCCGAAGTGGAAAGAAGTGTTCCAGTGTGCAGACGAAGGCCCGTGTGGCTGAACATGGAAAGCCGAGTGGGGAGAAGATGTCTAGTGATGCTGCTGAGGAAATAGCCCGATCACACAGGAGATGTAATTCACCCAAGACCATGCAGCTGTGAAAAGACGATGATCAAGATCTGCAGTTATTAATGTGGAAGGATGTCTGTGGGCTGTTACTAAGTGGGAAACACGGGCTGCAAAACCACATAGCTAACAGGATTTCATCTGTATTCTATATGAATGCAAAAATATGCATAGAAAAACATCTATGCCGCACACACGCCACAGTGTCAACAGTGGTTATCTCAGGTGGTAAGATAAGGGATGATTTCCACTTTTTTCTTTATGTCCTTAGGCGACGTCCGAATGGAGCAAGTATTCCTTTATAATCTTAAAAACAGCAAC